ACTAGCCCAGACTTAAGCTGGTTTTATAGTGCTAGCCCACTGAGATACCATGCCGCAGTGAAGCATGAATACCCCACTCAGACACATTATACTGACTCTGAGCCGACCAGTCCTTGTTGTACCCATTAATGCCGAGCGCGCCAGGCAGGGACCAACAAGTACCATATTTTAACGTCTTTTGGTATGACGCGGTCGGGGATCGAACCCACAACCTTCCACTCTCCGGGCGAACGCTCTAACCACTACATCACGGAGGCAGTCAATATGTCAGAGACCATTATGGCAGACTAACAGACCACATATATAGATTAAATCATGTATAGGTTTCAAATGGTATTGCATCCTGTTTTGATGTGAAAGGGAAGAGAGGAATATTTTAGAAACTGAAACTGGCTACAGGTTTTATTTCAACACAAGTGTATGTCTGTAAAAGTTTCTTAGCATATATGGAATTCACCATAGAACTCATGAACTACGTCATATATCACATACCTGAATAATTTATACCTGTTCTGCAATCTAATCAGACAACAGTAAGTAATCACCTGTATCCATGGTAACTTTCAAAACAATAACAATGCAGTGTGAGTTGTAAGTTAATTAATTGTCAATTACCAAACCACTTCTTGTGACAGGTGAATTACAGACAAACAGTTTATGTAATGTCTCAAATATCCCTCAACATTGAAGCCATGTTGGTTTCTTTGAAATTTGAACCCAAGCCATGTCAGTGTGTGTTTGGTTACAATTATTTCCTGACATTGCTGGCGGCAAAACCTGATTGTCAGGCTTCAGTTAAACAAATATCAAATTCCCCGGTATATGGTGATTGTGTGGGCTGGATAGCACAAGTATCTAAGTTGTTTCAGATGTGTCTTTGCAGAGAGAACAAGAGACAGCATGTTTATAAAGTAGAACCTTCTCAATCTGAACATCCGCATTTATCCACACTTGTGTGTTAGGTTTGGGGCTTACAAAAAGAAGCATGTTAAAAGCAGGATAATAATTTGATAATCATTCAGTACTTCCAGGTTGACAAATAATTTTAGTTATGTTCCATCTGTTTATATTCCTAACAGTAATCCTCCAGAATAGAGTTTCTATTGTTTGGTTGTATAGGAATGTATATCCTTAGAGATATTTGATCCTGATGACATACCAGGGTTGTGCCTGACTAGACGGGCAATAAATTTTAATCAAGGACTTGATGACACTTTTGTGGCAGTATTTCATATGAGAAGGAGTGAACAAACATTATGTGGTGGCAGTCAAATGGACTTCAAGGGCTAGACTGACCTGAGAAGAAAACATCACAGCTTTGTTTTGTGTCTGGAAGTCATATTTCTTTAATTTAAGAAAAGGGCGGTAGGGTAGCCTAGTGGTTAAAGTGTTCGCTTGTCACACAGAAGACCAGGGTTCGATTCCCCACATAGGTACAATGTGTGAAGTCCATTTCTGGTGTCCCCAACCATGATACTGCTGGAATATTGCTAAAAGCAGCGTGAAGGCCATACTCACTCAGGTTTAGAAAAATACACCAACATTTCTTGTATATTTAACTACCTTCAATATTCTCAGAGATATTTATTGAAGCGACGAACTTCATATCCTCGCTGTCTTTCTTGACACTGCTGGAGCAATCAATGGAACTATTCGTATGTATAAAAACAAGCTGTAAACAATCCCATTGAATACAGAATTGGAAAATGCGGCTTCTCTCTTGGTTTTAACGCTCTTGGCTACCCTGTTCGTGTCGTGTTACGCACAATTATATCGTTCTGTTCTGTTGGCTATGGTTGCTTTGCTGTTGTGTATGAATAGAGGTTGATCACAGGTAAACAATATTCAGACTGAGTGATCACCTGCCAGTTGATTGTCTCCCGTGCAGAGCACAGGTATAAGGTGGTGAAACTCGTTTTAGTTTATTCATGGAGATTGAAACGAAGGTCCACTGGTTATGTAGAGATATGTGGGGTCCTAGTAGACTGAAATATGTACTGAAATTCATGTGTATATATATATATATATATATATTACTTTTGGTGTCTTGATCTTGGTGTTTGTAGCCATGAGAGTCAGTGGGAAGGCGAGGGTGTGTGTTAGGTGTTCATTTGTCACACCTTTGGCCTGTGTTCCATTCCCTGGAGGGGCAGTGGGGTATCCTAATGGTTAAAGCGTACGCTTATCACACTGAAGACCCGAGTTCGATTCGCCACATAGGTACAATGTGTGAAGCCCATTTCTGGTGTCCCCTGCCATGATATTACTGGAATATTGCCAACAGCGTCATAAAGCTAAACTCACTCACTCACATTCCCTGGAATGCAGAGCATGGGTATAAGGTGGTAAGACTTGTTTAAGTTTATTCATAGAGAATGAAAAGTAGGTCCACAGGTTATGTGGAGATATGTGCACATGGGATCCTAGTTAGCCTAGTGGCGTAGAATAACAAGATTCGCTGTTGTTTACTTGTTCTTATTTACACTGATTTTGATCCTTGCTTTGTCAAAGTGGTGAATATCCGCAACATTTGCATTTGGATAAGTTGACGCATGTAACTGAATGTTTTTAAACACTGCTAAACCAAACTCACTGTATGAGTGGGAACAGAGGTAGCATTGCAAATTGCTGTGGAAAATTGTATCCCAGAAGGCCAGGAAAGCATGATCAGGGATTCAAAATTCCAGATTTTGCTTGTATTCTGTTTGCAGTTTATCTGCATCATACCATGCTTGTGGGTTTTGCATAAGTTGTAACTCACAAAAACTGCATCCAGTCTGTCTTTCCTCTCTGCTTCAAGCTGCACCACATGTGATAAACTGAAATAATGTTCAGCCTGGCATTGAACCAACTTCACTCACTCACTCTTGCAAACAGCTGCATCCTTGCTGCATTTAACAGCTAGCATTAAACAATATCGTCAGTATATCTGTATTTTCAAGTTTTGAAATCCAGACCAGCAGTTTCACAATTTTCACTTCATAACAAATTCAGTAAAGACCAGGTAATTGGATAGAAGGATAGTAATGACAAAAATAGTGGAATTTGAAAGCCCTGTAATAAGTTCAGGCTATTAACAGCTTTGGTAGTTGCACCATGGACGCAGCAATCTTATCACACATGAACTTTCCAGCCGATTATCAAAGTAAGCGTTCCATCACCAGCTAGAGACCAATTAGCCGCCATGTTCCTGGTATCGCCCAGGTGGGGTGTTGTATAACAAGCAGATAGCTGACATTTGCTGCGTGTTTATATCCCTGTAAAGATAGACATCTGGGTTATAGGTAGGATATCATGGGAAATGTCAGGATGATGTAGAGGCTGAATATACACTGGTGCTGATTCAAGTGGAATAACCTTGAATAGTTGGATGGTCCCAAGTAGGATGATATATCCAAACATAGGCTGATATATTTGAACACAGGGGGATATGTTTCAACATAGGCTGATATATAATAAAACAGGGTGATATATCCCAACATAGGTGGATATATACAAGCACTGGTTGGTATATCCCAATGTAGGGAGATATATCCTAAAACAGGTTAATATATTCCCAAGTAGGGTGATATGTTTCAAAGTAGGGTGATATATCCAACACAGCTTGATAAATCTCCAGCACAGGGTGATACATCCAACCACATCTTTCTTTAGACCCGTGAAGATCTGTGTTAGAATTGATCTTCAGTAGCCCATGCTTGTCGTAAGAGGCGACTAATGGGATTGGGTGGTCAGGCTCAGTGACTTGGTTGACACATGTCATCGGTTCCCAATTGCGCAGATTGATGCTCATGCTGTTGATCACAGGATTGTCTGCTCCAGCCTTGATTATTTACAGACCGCCGCCATATGGCTTTAATATTGCTGAGTGCGGCTTAAAACTAAACTCACTCACTCACTCTTTCTGTACATCTGTCACAGAGCGATATGTCCAGTTATCTAGGGTATATGTATGTCATAGAGTATGATATGCAACATTACAAATGTAGTAGAAAGAGGTACCAAATTAAATATGTGTACATGTTATCAAACAAGTTTGCATTTTATGCAAAGAAATACTTAGATACATTATTACACATCTGTTAATAATCATTGATAGTATATCAAATATGGCAATAAGAACATTGAGGACATAATTGAGGACAAATATGAAAGAAGGATTTTGGCATTTGGCAAGACAGTCGGGAGTGCAGAGATTCCTAAAGTTCTTTGAGACACTTCAGCTGATACAAGTCATCTAGCTGTCAATACATATTCAGCCAAACATTGTTCTCATTCTTAATGTTTCTAAGTAAAAACTTGCTAGCTGCATATTCCTAATGGAGACATTATTTATTGGTAGGTGGAACCCCAGCTAAATCAAAATGTTTAAAGTATTTTCGAAGCTTCTAATTTGACACAACAGTGTTTAACTATATATCCATTGTTTGATATTTGCTGGGGGTGGTGGTGTAGACAAGTGGTTAAAGCAATTGCTTGTCATGCTGAAAACCTGAGTTCGATTCACCACATGGGTACAACGTGTGAAGCGCATTTTCTGGTGTACCCCGCCGTGATATTGCTGGAATATTGCTATAAGCAGCGTAAAACTAAACTCACTCACTCACTAATATTTATTAGAAGAAATTGAAAGATGCAGAGAATATGCACTATCTGTGAATATCATCTCCAGTCGAAATTATCATCTATGAAAACACTTGTACAACTGGTCATGGTGTACACCCAAAGGTTATGCTTGTTGTTGCCCTGCCTGGTATTGAGTGTTGAGGGACAGTGGGGTAGCCTAGTGGTTAAAGCGTTCACTTGTCACGCCAAAGGCCTGGGTTCAGTTCCCCAAATGGGTTCAATGTGTGAAGCCTATTTCTGGTGTCCCCCGCTGTGATATTGTTGGAATATTGCTAAAAGTGGCATAAAACCATACTCACTCACTGATTGTGTTGAAGAAGTAGCAATGATATATGTGTCATAATATTGGCTCACAGTATATCTCTTCATTTCAGAGTTGCACAAGCAACACAGGGACAAGCTTGAGGATATCACACACCGCTTTGAGACCATCAAGATGACACTGGGGGTAAGATCTTAGTTTTCTTCATTTTGATGGATATGGTACTAGGTAGTCTTTCAGCAATCATTTTAATACCTTTCTGCTCAGATAAACATTCTCTGTAAAGGTATATTTAAAACAAACTTTATACATGAAACCTTTTCACAACACTGTTTCATTCGTTGTTATGGTAATGATACCAGAAAATGTTATCGATATACCATTTGGAAACATTTAGAAGTTATAGCTGTCAGACATCAAAAGAGGTGAGGTGAAATTGGGTTTTACATTGTGCTTGAGAATATTTCGCTCATTATGACGACGTGCATGCGTGTGTATGTGTATGTGCGGCTGCTTGTACTAGCCCAGACTTAAGCTGGTTTTATAGTACTAGCCCACTGAGATACCATGCCGCAATGAAGCATGAATACCCCACTCAGACACATTATACTGACTCTGAGCCGACCAGTCCTTGTTGTACCCATTAATGCCGAACGCCAGGCAGGGACCAACGAGTACCATATTTTAACGTCTTTTGGTATGATGCGGTCTGGGATCGTACCCGCAACCTTCCGCTCTCCAGGCGGACGCTCTAACCACTACACCACTGAGGCGGTCAGTCATCAAAAGAACAACACAAACCCAAAAAAGAGGCTCAAAATGTGCCTGAACAGAGACTATAAACCACATGTAAAGAAATAATATTGAACCTCATGTGGATTCTAGGGAGGGATAGTCCCCCAGTATCCCATTGGTTTAAGCAAGAGACATCTAGAGGTTTAACTGGTCATATTGGCCTTGGGGGGAGGTTGGGTAGCCTAGTGGTTAAAGCGTTTAAACGTCATGCCGAAGACCCGGGTTCGATTCCCCACATGGGTACAATGTGTGAAGCCCATTTCTTGTGTCCCCTGCTGTGATATTGCTAGAATAATGCTAAAAGCGGCGTAAAACCAAACTCACTCACTCACTCATTGCCTTGGCTTATAGCATGTCATTGTGCCCAGTTGTGTGTGATTCATTGCTGGTTATCTCATCCAGACTCACATTTACAGGCTGCCAATATTTAGCTGGAATATTGCTGACACAGCTTTAAAGCAGACTCACTCACTCACTAATAGCTGATACCTTCAGTAACTGGTTACCTGATCCAGACTCACATTTACAGGCTGCCAATATTTAGCTGGAATATTGCTGACACAGCTTTAAAGCAGACTCACTCACTCACTCATAGCTGATACCTTCAGTAACTGGTTACCTGATCCAGACTCCACGTTTACAGGCTGCCAATATTTAGCTGGAATATTGCTGACACAGCTTTAAAGCAGACTCACTCACTCACTCATGAACATGACATAAATTACTGGAATTCTTGGCAACTGTTCCTGGAAGTATGCCCACTTATAAGAATAAGCTATTATCTCTTGGACACATTCTCATGCTTTACTGCAAATTAATGACGAAAATATCTTATCTGTAAGCCTGCTGATTATAAAGTGACCACACCTAAAGCTTGTCTCAAGGAGTACAGTACCTGTCTGATAAGGGCTGACTTTAACCATTGTTTTATTACTGTTATATCTCATGTACTGAAGTGGGTGGTAAATCTGGTGTGCGATATATGACGTATCACTCTTTTAGTCTTTAGCTTTGTAATGTATCGTGAAGTTTTCTGAAACTGTTGTCATGTAATACTTTTATTTTCAGAATAAAGTATGGTGATATCAAGTAAATGGATAAATCAGCATACTAACATTGTAGTACTCTAATAGTTGTAGCCTATATTTTAACACAAAAATTAAGGGATCATGAATACTTAGGTGGATATATCCTTGTGACTGAGCAGCTTCATAAAATATATTCCCAAAAGTATTCATGATCCCTAACTTTTTGCTAAGTATGTTTCACTGCACCAGTTTTAACAAACTTATCACAGGTAGACATGGATGGAACAAGATTTTGTCAAATTAGATGTAAAAAATGCAGTCAATATAATCTTAAGTACAGAAGCATTTATGGAAGTATTTAAATTTGTCAGTGTGGCAGTGTCTATCCATGCTTTGAGAATTTATGGTGCTTAGATATAAATGTATTTGGGTAACAGCAAATTTCTTGTAATATTGCAAGTTGCCTGGCTGTGTACTGATATAGTAAAACTTGTGCTATGTAAATGTGACTGATGCTGACACATTAATGGGACTGATATCTATCAGTCTGTAAACACACAGACATTAGGGGAGATGTATGCCAGATATCCGGCTCATTATGTACCCACATGCTCTGTAACATCACAGGGGGCGGTGGGGTAGTCTAGTGGTTAAAGCGTTGGCTCGTCACGCCAAAGACCCGGGTTCGAATCCCCACATGGGTACAACGTGTGAAGCCCATTTCTGGTGTCCCCGGCCGTGATGTTGCTGGAATATTGCTAAAAGCGGCGTAAAGCCAAACTCAGTCAGTGTAACATCACAGGATGTAGATAAACCTTGCCACAAACAGGCAGTGGAAAATGAAGTTCACACTTAGGTTGTTTAAGAAAGCTTGATATGGGATTATGTTTATCTGTTAGTGTCCATCCATATGAGATAAAATGTTATATATATATTACATGATATATTATATGATATATATATGTTACAGTCAATGTGTAAAATGTGCCTTAAAATGCCTAAAGTCAAAATGTGTGGAATTTGTTAGAATAAAATAGATGGACAAGTGTTTTGTTCATTTTTTAAAATGACAGATGTATTTATTCGTTTATGAATTACCTTTGTGGGAATTTCATTCATGTTACACGTTGACTGATTTCACACCTTAACAGAAACATATAAACCACATCTGCTGATACTTATGTTATAACTCTGTGGGTTGTAGGAGATGGGTGGTCAGACCAAAGACATAGGTCACTGCTCATAACAACAATGACTAATTGTCTGATCAAACTCTTGCTTATAGCTGGAATTGTGCTGAGTCCAATGTTAACAACAAAGCTACAAAAGCTTATGTGATAACACAATGTTAAAACTCAGATCACATGAGGGGGCACCTGTTATCTAAGGTGCATTGTCAGGTCAACCTGTTTGAGCCCAAGATTAGCCCTGATTCTGCTCCTTGGTTTATCGGCCTAGATTAAAGCTGGCTCGTCTTGAAGACCGGGTTTTCCCCATGGGCACAATGTGTGAAGCCCATTTCTGGTGTCCCCCGCCGTGATATTGCTGGAATATTGCTAAAAGCGGCGTAAAACTAAACTCAGTCAGTCAGTCAGTCCTTGGTTTATCAGGGTAATACCTGTTGTCTTGTGATTCCTCCTGCATGATTCAACAGAGAGGCTATTCAAAGCGACATTAATCTTATTGACTCATTCAAACTGTCATACATTATATCATATACAATGTTTATAACATCATAGACCTGCTTTTATGTTGAATACAGTGAACTAACCTCTGCAAACTTTATGCTATACTATTTAAACCATACAGTATTTAAAACAGATTCTCCCTTTACATTTAACCTGACTTTGCACATAATGAATGAAAGTGCTAACAGGGACAGCTATATATGGTTTTATTGCTGATACGAGGAATGGTGTCACTGTTTCCATGCTAAAGATGCACCGTTGTATCGTCATGCACCATTGTATCGTCAGGTAACATGGTCATATAGAATGTTTCATGCACTGTCAGCCAGTGGTTTATTGGTCGCTGGCTTCAATACTTCAGCCTCATTTGGTTCGTGATTAATAGATGAAATAATGCTGATGCCTCATTCCAGATTTCCCATCTCACTTATTTGCTTCCATCTTAGAGATAACTCCATTACTCAGGATGGATCGTGGATTGTAAGAGTTTCACAAGGCTACCACTCAATATATTGGACATCTTGTAGTGGCCTCATGGTTAATATACTTAATTGTCAAGCTGGAGACCTAGGTTCGATTCCCCATTTGGCTACATCATGTTAAACCTATTATTGGTGTCCCTCCTCCCACCCACTATCATTTGAGTAGCAATTACCCTTGATTGGTTATGTTAAACGCACTAAATATTGCAAATGGTTGTTTGGAAGGTGTTCCATAATAAGGTCAATGCTGTTGATCAGTGGATTGTCTGGACCAAACTCGATTATTTACAGAATGCTGTCATATAGCTGGAATATTGCTGAGTGCGGCGTAAAACTAAACTCACTCACTCCATAATAAGCAAAATTTGTTAGTTGTTTCTGTTTTGATGGGTGTTGGGAATATTCATCGGTCTAGTTACGTTCAGTTACATATGATACTGTCTGCTGATGACATTTTACCCTGACCATCCTGCTTGTTCCAGGAAAAGGTTGAGACACTGAGAGGCGAGTGTGAGGACCTGCGACTGAGAGCCAAGATTAGTGAGGAGGCTCTGCTCCGAGACTCTGACGTCAAACTCCAGGTATGACCTGCTACTTCATGTTATAGCTGACTGCTACAATTCTGAGTCAATAATTTTATACTTTTGGGCACAAATTTACAGTGCTTTTTTCTTGATACATTGAAGAAATCCTGCCATATAGCTGGGATATTGCTGAGTGCGGCGTAAAACTCAACTCACATTGAAGAAATCACTGATTGTGTACTTAGCTTACATTTCTTACTTCTTGCTAGCTTGCCCTGCAGCCATTCCGCAACCTGCCAGCAGAGATCGAGAGTCTGAAGCTGGTGATCGAGATGCGAAACCAGGAAGTTCAGAAACTCCGAAAACAGAACATGGAACTGGAGAAGCAGGTAGAGTGGCATGGGCAGGGTTTGGAAATTATGGTGCATTTTGGCCTAGCAATGGAACAGCAGCTTTCTTGATGATGTTAGGGCTCATGGATGGCAGGGGAGCGGGGGCTTTCTTGATGTTAGAGCTCATGGGGTAGGGTGAACAGGGGCTTTCTTGATGTTAGGGCTCATGGATGGTAGGGGAACAGGGGCTTTCTTGATGATCATGGATGTGGTAGGGGAGGGGCTTTCGATGTTAGGGCTCATGGATGGTAGGGTAACAGCGGGCTTTCTTGATGTTAGGGCTCATGGATGGCAGGGGAGGGAGCCGGGGCTTTCTTGATGTTAGGGCTCATGGATGGATGGTTGGGGCTCATGGATGGTAGGAGAGCGGGGGCTTTCTTGATGTTAGGGCTCATGGATGGTAGGGTAACAGCGTCTTTCTTGATGTTAGGGCTCATGGATGGTAGGGTAACAGGGGCTTTCTTGATGATGTTAGGGCTCATGGATGGTAGGGTAACAGGGGCTTTCTTGATGATGGTAGGGGGCTTTCTTTTGATGTTAGGGCTCGTGGATGGTTGGTGAGCGGGGGCTTTCTTGATAATGTAAGGGCTCATGGATGGGAGGGAAACGGGTTCTTTTTCGTGGATGGTTGGGACTTTCTTTGTGATGTTCTGGTAATAGGGGCTTTCTTGGGAATGGAATGGCTCACTGGTGGGAGATACATGTAATATCATGTTATCTATTGATAATCACATGTCTCACTTAGAGTATCGTTTTTTCTTGGATGTGACACACTTTTGAGGGTTTCACCTTTGTGGTACCTGTATGTTTATTTTTTCACTTTCTTGCACTTAGGCTGTAAAGGAGATATACCTGTTTTACTGTTGAAAGTATCCATAAACCCAATTCACTCACTCACTCACTCACTCACTCACTCACTCACTCACTCACTCACTATGTGTTCCAGCTGGAGGAGCTCCCAATTGCCAAGGAGAAGATAGACTCCCTGCAGAAGAAATCTGAGAACCTCGAGGCCATCATCAACATCAAGACAGACCACGAAAAGTAACTCCATTAGAAACATTTTAGACATTTGTTTCTTCTGTGAGGATGCCATGTAAAGCCTGTGATGAATTATTTGTGATCGAATTATTATTCAATAGACACTGAACCATAATCATGCTTTCTTTAAGGGTATCTACTGTTTTATTTGTGACTGACCTTTGTTTTTTTACTCTCCCTAAAATCTGTAATTAGTTGCATTTATTTACCTCCAAGAATATGTGTTCATGGGTTTTATTCCCACTTATCCCTTACGAGGCATGGCGGGGAGCCCAATGGATAAAGCGTTTGCTCATCATACCAAAGGCCCAGGTTTGATCCCCCACATTCAGTGTGTAAAGCCTATTTCAGTGTGTAAGTTATATTTCGTGCCCAGCAGGAATATTGCTAAAAGTGGTGTGAAACTATACTCTCTCACTTACCCTTCAATATAATCTTTGGTTTGCCAGCACCATTGTGCCACCAACTGGTAAATGTCAATGCATTGTATCATTTTAAACTTAGGCATAAACAATCTATGTCACCCCTGGCTTTCCTCCAACAATGAGGTGATATGTCGTGACAGCTGAGTTACTGTTCACAAAAGTTCCCACTCACCATAATGTCAGTGTGGCATATTTTGACAATATCAATAAATAAAATGATCATCAATGTCCATATAAACTGTTGACTCAAACTACTTGCCTTGTGACTAACAATATATCTGTAATAATGTTATGTTCAGACACTTTTAAATCTTTATACAATGATGTCAGTGCAGCATATTTTGACAATATTGTGAGATAAAATGATCCATGCAAACTGTTGGTTCTGAAACTGCTTTCCTTGTGACTGTAACAACATATTTGTTTTGCAGACAACTCCACGAGAAATGCCAGAACTTGATGAGGAGGTGCGACAAGGAGAGCAAGGCCAACAAACGGCTGTCCATGGACTATGAACAACTCATGTGGAAGGTCGACCAGCAAGACTTCGGCTCCACTGAGAGCTTGTACCGTCGCCAACTGAGTAGGTCACCACCTCGCAGCGAGTGTAGCTCGCCTGATCCAATAAGGAAAGGCTTGTCACCGATCACTAGCGAGAATGACTCGCCATGCCGACGATCACACAAATCTGCATCTTCCACAGGAGACGATTCCTTTGAGCGCAAATTGAAACGCCGGTCAGCCACATATCTGTTGGAAAAAGAGAAATCTTCCCCATCGGCTAGCCCACAAGCTAAGCGTCTTTCTCCAAGTAGTTTTGAAAATTCGCCCCCGAGAGTTATGACTCAGTCTGCCCCTGACGAACTTTCATATACTGTCTCCCCGGCGACAAGTTCGCCACCAGACTCTAGTTCCTATTCTGTCTCACAGTCAATGTCTCATTCTATGACTCAGTCGATGACACAGTCTATGACACAGTCTATGACCGATTCAGACATTTTTGGCGATTTTGAATCTTCCGGAATAGTTACAAATGGACATGAAATCTCAGTGTCAGTCGTGTTGCCACCAGAGCCAGAAGTTGAATCAGAAGTTTTCACTGTGATTGAAGAGAAAGAGAAGAAAGTGATAAAGGATGAGGTTGAGACGAATGTGTGAGCAGGGGGAGATAACTCCATTCATTGAGGGATGCTTCAGTGAATGAATGAAATCCTGGAATATAAGTCTTTCAACTGTTGATATTTCTCAGTCTTGTGTCAATGTTGTGATTATGAATTATGACAACCACTTTTTAAGACCACTTTGCCTGAAAACTATCTAATCATGTAAAGGCAGTGAAAGGGAGGTAACTTCAAGACATCACTTGAATGTGGAATTTGAAAAGATTTAAAAATGGCTTCTGAATGTTGGAGGTATTAGAAATAAAGATGTTTGTTTGATATATCCTGTGTGCTAAGCATTTGAAAATATCCAGTCATGGCCCTAGGATTGAGAGGTTGTCATTTAAATTCGAATGGAATATGTCAGTATGTCTCTAGAGTGTTGAAGTACAGAGTTAATGTCATTCCATCTATTTGAATATTTAAATTACTACTTATTGTATAATAACTATATGACTATTGTACTGTATGTACGTGATTTGTGCAATATTTGATGTAGTGATAGCAGCTTTTGTGGTTCAGAATAGAATGATAAGCTTTGTAGAGCAAGATATAAATGTTAATCTGTAGAAAATAATTTGTAAAGTTTGTACTTACGACAGTTGTCCATGTTGATATGGTTTTTCAGTCCTGTTGTCAATTTGCCCAAGTCTTGGGCACATGGCTGTTAAAACTCTGAATAAGAGAATGTCCTTTTCCATAACACCTTGTCAGAAAATCAGTGTACAATTTGCAAAATGATTTTAGCCATACTTCAAACTTTTATTATGATTCTGATGCATTTGCCTTTGCCTTAATAACATTCACCTTTTCCATGTTCTACTTATTGATTAATTGTCAGTTAGCATTGAAAGTTTACGGAGAGATAAGTTTTGGGTAAACTCAAGGTTGGATCGTGGGGGTGCATTTGAAATAAGGGGATGAAGTATTTCTTGGATTCGATTGGCTTATTTTACCTTCTTGCATTTAACTGCCGCTCTCAAGTCCTATTTCCCAATTTCTACCTCATATTTGATGTATTTATGTGGCTTATTGATAAAATTCTGTTGAATATCCTCACACTCAAGCTTTTGTCAATATGTTTCAGAGAAATCAATCATGGTCAATTCATAAAAATTATTTGTCATGGTTTTATCAAATTAATTCAAACGTATTGTCTGCTGAATGTGAAACTCACTAGTCAGGGAAGTTTAAGAATGACGTGGTCTAAGGGAGATAACTCCATATGTGAATGCAGAACAGAAAGGTAAAATGAAGTGCAAAGTGAATGTATTAAGCAATAGATTGGAGAAATAGATTTGTATTTAGCTCTGCTGTTGTAATATGTCCACAAAGTTCAGATTCTTTATATTCATATCATAATATTGAAGTGTTTTTCGTTGACATATCAATTTCTTGTGTTTGTTAAGTATGTATAGAATAGGCCTTTTACATCATTGTTAACACAGTCTGTCAGATCTTATAATATGAATTCATAACTTGTTCATATGCAAATTTGTTGACACGTTCGTTTCAAAATTGATTTGTGTTTAAAAAATTGTATGCAAAATTAATTGGTTTTCAGTGTTAGTTGTACATAGGTTAATTACACTGCCACCCAAATACATATTGCGGTTCAAGGTAACTACTTGATGAATTCAAATGATCATAATTTGCTATAGTTCATTTGCAATTAAATTGCAGTTTTCATTCATGGTGTATTAGCACAGTGTACAAGTTGTGTAGTCACATTTGATTTGATGTGTGTATTTGCGTGTGTCACGAAGGTTACATTCAGGTTGTTTGTTCGTTACACCATTGTTTACAAATATTTAAGTGCTAAGACAATTAAGTGTTGGTATGTCCTGTTATTTTCATCTTCAAAACAAGTCAGTAGTTTGAGGAAAGATTTACAGTGAAGATTTGCTTGAAATTCTACTTGTTTCAAAGACAGTGCGGACCAACATCATCCATTAAGCCAGCCAAATTTATTTGCTAGGATTTTTTTTATTGTTTCTCTATGTTATGGTCAATATCCACCCATTTAAGAGGATTGAGGCAAGATTTCAAATAAGGGAACAAGTTTTAACAAAAATAAAAGCAAAAAGATGTAAAAAAAATAATCAGTTTCACCATTTTAATCGTTTTCATATATCTAAGGAAAATAAAGAGGACGTGTAAAAATATATATTTGTCTTGGCCTGACAGTTTGTCTCGGTCATAATCCTGGACAGCAAGCAAGCTGTAGATCCTACATTGTTTCCAAAATTGTCTATGACGAATCATTTATTGTGATAATGAGACTTTCCTGTTGCAAATCCCGTGGTTTTTTTAGAATATTGTGTGGCACAAATTCTTTCATGAAATAGTGCAAACATGTGGCATATATAATGGTTACATCGACTGGTGTTAGATGGCATCTGTTGTATGCAGTGGAAATAATCAAAATTTTGTTTGTCGATATTTGTACATTCTTTAATAATTTATAAGTAAATTCATGTGGCATTTTATGACACGTTCAATTTGATGGAAAGTACTGAAGAGAGTGGTTTATAACAGATGATTATGGTTGTTATTAAATCAGTATAACACCTGCCTGTAGATAAATGTGAGAAGTTAAGTGAAACAGCAAATATATGGGATATAACATGTATATATTCCATGGTTAAAGAGGCTGGTTAGAGAGGAAGTTAATTATATCACAATAAGCTCTCACTGTTTCTTGCCTCAATATTTTGTGAGGGCTACTTATCTTTGATGTAAATGTATAATCCTCTTCTCTCTACTTCCATTGTGTGTTTTACAGACACTTGCTGTATTGATGAGGATTAAGATTTCAGATTTTCAAATTTCTGATTGTCAGTTCCTAAAAATCTGAGCCATTAGGTCTGTTGTATAAACCACATGTCTTCTGTATAACTAACTGATGATTGGTCCAGATTCTGCAGTGACCATTGGTTGAGAATTTGGACGGACCTGATTGGTTGAAAGCATTTTGAATGTTTAGATCTGCCTCAACTGATTGGCAGATGTTAGTCCTGCTGTGACCTGATTGGTCAAAATGTTAGTGATGCACAAATCTGGTTGTAAATGTTAGCACTGTCACAAGCATCATCTTTGTCTGGTGTTGTGCATGATGATAAGAGTATGAAGATGTAATAATATGATCTCTAGCCAGCAGGCAGCATTCTGTCGATTAAACATTATGACATAATATACACATTGTCATGTCTTCTTATAAGCAGTAGGGACGGTGGGGTAGCCTAATGGTTAAAGCGTTGGCTCGTCACGCCGAAGACCTGGGTTCGATTCCCCACATGGGCATAATGTGTGAAGCCCATTTCTGGTGTTCCCCGCCGTATGATGTTGCTGGAATATTGCTAAAAGCGGCGTAAAACCAAACGCAGTCAGTACAAAGCTTCAGCCTTTTTAGCAACAATTTTTTAAGTTATGGTAGCTACGCCCCTGGATCACATGACCCAAGAGATGGTGGTGGGCCACATCTCCTGCACAGCCTTTATCTCACCATTTATACTAGCTCCACCCACTTGACCATCTAGCTCCTGTGTTTCTAACACAGAAGAGGGGCGGTTGGGTAGCCAGGTGGTTAAAGCGTTCGCTAATCACGCAGTAAATGTTCGCTCGTCACAATGCTCATTTCTCCTGTCCAAAGCCATGATATTACTGGAATATTGCTAAAAGTGGTGTAAAACCTTCCTCACTCACTCCAACACAGCAGCAGCTGAATCAGATGGTGTGTATTACTGTCACAGGAGGTGGTAAGTTCCTGACTACCAACATTTTTTCATTCCCTCTAATGTATTGGACAGCCTCTCGGTCTTCTGGACAAGCATCAATGGTTTGAACCTTATCCATATTGTATCAAAAGATGTTACAAGATGGTACTCATTGTTATCCTAACAACCCATGCTTGTAAGAGGCGACTAAAGAAATCTGGTCAGGCGCACTGGCTTGGTTGACCCATGACATCGTATCCCAATTGCGTAGATCGATGCTCATGATGTTGATCACTGGATTGTCTGGTCCAGACTCAACTATTTACAGATTGCTGCCATATATCTGGAATATGCTGAGTGCAGCGTTAAACAACAAACCAACCAACCAACCTGCTTTTTAACACAGAAGCAGCTAAATCAGATGGTAAGGATGACTATCACAGAACTGACTGACTGAGTTTGGTTTTACCCCGCTTTTAGCAATATTCCAGCAACATCACGGCGGGGGACACCAGAAATGGGCTTCACACATTGTACCCATGTGGGGATTCGAACCCGGGTCTTCGGTGTGACGAGCCAACGCTTTAACCACTAGGCTACCCCACCGCCCTATCACAGAAGGTTGCAAGTTGCTGACAACAGTTTTTGTGGTTTTCTCTCAAGTATCAGACAGTTTCTGGGTCTTCCGATAGGTTTGAACCCAGTCCATAGTATCCAAAGATGTTACAAGAAGGTACCGATTGTTGTCCAGCATGGTGCTTGATCTTATGGAGAAAACCAAGCTCAGGTTGGAGTCTGTTTAATGATACCGAGTAGGTTCATGTTTAACTGAAGGTGGTATCTCAATGGGCTAGCACTGTGAAAATGGCATTTGTCTGGCCTTGTACAAGCTGCCACATCCAAAACGCACACATGCATGTACATTGTCTCACGAGTACAAAAATCATGACTGTCACTTCAAAGTAAACCCCCATGTGGTCACATGGCAAATCAGATTGGGAGGCAGATAACCAGTACTGCCACACAACTGCAATGCCTAGATTTGGAACTTCCTAAGGGCACCTTACCCATCAAAGGTTTCATCAAAGTGGTAATTACCTTCAAATTGCTTCAAATTTGTTTGGAAATTTGGGGCGGTGGGGAAGTCTAGTGGATAAAGCGTTCGGTCGTCACGTGGAAGACCCGGTTCGATTCCCCACATGGGTACAATGAGTGAAACCCATTTCTGGTGTCCCCCTGCCGTGATATTGATAGAATATTGCTAAAACCGGCGTAAAACTATACTCACCCACTCACTCACTCACTAAAATAGAACTGGTCTCCGTTCCTCAAAGCGATCGTAGTGCTACGACAGTCGTAACTCCCATGCTTTAACATAGGCTTGCGACTGTCGTAGAGCTGTCGTTTGAGAACGCTAAAGCGATCGTAGCGCAAAGTTGATCGTAACTCCCATACTTTAACATAGACTTACGACTGTTGTAGCGCTACGATCGCTTTGAGGAACGGGGCCCAGGGCCACAGTATGTTGCATTTTTCTGGTCACAAGCTTAACACTATGTTTACTAAGGGAATGAGGTCCTAAACTTGAATTTTCCTTTTTCATAGGACAATTTATATCAGACTGCTCCCCCAATGTTCTGCTCGACTGTCACAACTTTTGTGTGTGAATAAAAACATATATGGGGATTTTATTAAACTCCCCTCGTTAGGGTAAGGGGAGGCAACCCCTGTTATCTTCAGACTGTATCACTGGGCAACTATGTGAGTTTTTGTGTTCGGGACCACCTTAAATGTAACTGATACTACTACAACATCTATATCACTCACGCCAGCCAGACACTTTTTTCATTTGAACAATTAAACCGCGGTCTATCTTTGGTAAATGGATACTGCAGACTGCGTATCCCGTCGGCAATAATTCAGCAATACTTTAGACAATCAGAAGTTGGCGTTGCTGAGTGCGCGTTTTCCATAGATTAAAACATTCACCTTCTTCCACGACTGGATCTCCTTACTAAAATGTTTTTGAGTTTTGTCTGCGTGTGTCTGTATCTATCTGTCTGGACCACACAATCCTGTGATTGATAATGATCCACGCGGTTGGGGTTAGGATGACACGCCATCAAGCAATTTACCGAGTTGGCGATCAATCGACTCTTAGGCCAGCAATTGTTGGGGGTTAATTCTCACACGGAATCCCCACGAATTCCTTACTTAAAAAAACCGAGACATAACAATTGCATTCCTTGCCAGTGTAAGCAGCTGCCGAACATATATCTAGGTTTTGCTTTATTGAGGGGTAAATTAATCGAGTCTTCAATAACTTCTCAAACCATTTGATTTTTATGATGTGTGAGGCAATTCCTTTGCCGATAATTCCCCGCCCCCGCGTCTGCCCTGAGAGAAAGGTCGTGAGTTTGATCTCCTCTGCGTCAAATCTGCAGAACCTTAAAAGATGGTACTTATTCTTGCCCTTCCTGGCGCTTGCCTTAGAGGGATTCGGAACAACTGCAACGTGACACTATAACACCTTCATTTGTCCTTGATTACCACGCGCGCGCGCGCACGCACGCACGCACGCACACACGCACGCACGCACGCACACACTTACATGCAAATCGCTGTACGTAAGCGCAATAGTCTTGAAAGGAACGTTAAACTCCTTTGCCTTCTTATCAATTTAGCTTTTGTTTAGTTTTAAGTTATTTCACTCCCCCAGGAGCCAGCTGTCGTGATAAGCACAGGCCCTGCAACCGTGCTTGAGTGTGTATATGCACTCCGACCCAAATTTAGAACAGAATGAACATTTCTACACATTTAATTTAAAGTTAGAGTAATCAGGTACAAACCTAATGTCAACAAGTTGCGAGACTATATCTAACCAAAATGCCAAACCCAGTTTGAATTTGAACCTCAAAGCGATCCCGAAACGTTTTTCCCAAACAACTGTATCCGCTCCTGCGGCATTTTAGATGTATATCAAACATCTGTGTTCAGCTAATGCCCATCCTGTGTTACACTGTTAATGAAACCCCGTGAAGATTCGCGATAGAATTGATCTTCAGCAACCCATGCTTGTCGTAAGAGGCGACACATGTCATCGTATCCCAGTTGTGTAGATCGATGATCATGATGTCAATCACTGAGTTGTCTGGTCCAGATTTGGTTATTTACAGACCGCAACCTTCATATTACTAAAATATGGTTAAGCGTGGCCTTGAGTGAGTGAGTGAGTTTAGTTTTACGCCGCACTCAGCAATATTCCAGCTATATGGCTATATGGCGGCGGTCTGTAAATAATCGAGTCTGGACCAGACAATCCAGTGATCAACAGCATGAGCATCGATCTGCGCAATTGGGAACCGATGACATGTGTCAACCAAGTCAGCGAAACTGACCACCCGATCCCGTTAGTCGCCTCTTACGACAAGATAGTCGCCTTTTTATGGCAAGCACATGGGTTGCTGAAGACCTATTCTACCCCGGATCTTCACGGGTCGCGTGGCCTTGAGCAACAAACTATCTATGAACAATAAAGCTATACGTCTATATATAAAGCTATTCTCCTGAGCGTTGTGGCAGACTTAAAGGTTAAAGCGTTTGCTTGGTGACTGGACTGGACGTCGGTGTAAGGAACACATTTAGTGTCTTTCGATCACTCATTCACTCACTCACTCACTTACTCATGCATTGTGGGGCCCTTCTTGATAAACTAACGGGCCAAAACGTAGACGAAGCGTCTGTAAAAGACCTGTGAAATCTCCACCACAAATAGCGATTCAAAGTATAATCACATTTACGAAACTCGCACTCCAGTAAAGTCGGATAACGAGTTTTTAAAACCATCGTATAATCGAACAAAGCTACTGCTCAGCGAAGTACATATGGGTTGAGAGCACGACTCCTCATGAAGGCCTTGGCATTTAGTCTGGCCCCAATCCCCGAACATTAACAACGACTTACATTAATGACCAAGTAATGTCAGGTCTAAGTCCCTCGTATGTCCCCGCTACTCTGCTGGGAGTTGTCGAGAAGTCGTTGAGGAAGAACGACCCACAAAGTATAAGCTGATTCCGGGGCATCATCTCCAGGATTAATTTTCGTGTACGTTTTTACTATCTCGCAATGTAGGGTTGTATATTAAGCTATTAGGGTCTGAAGCAAAACAAGTGGCCATTATCGTTGTTTGTGACATTTGTACAGGATTGCGATCTTAACTTTGTTTGCCGAAGTCAGACTTTTTGTCTGTATGTAGCGGTAGATATATAGCTGAGTATTAACATTGTGCCTCGGTGAGGCCGTGGCACTCACTCGCTCACCAAACCCAAACATTTGAAATATATTACAAATACAAACGACAGTCATTGACTCACACATATAAATTTCACTCACTCACAATTGCAAACAACAACAACCCCTAACCACACCACACAGGTGCAGCTGTTCTCGCTCTGTGATAGTGGCAGGTGCAGCTCTCCT